GTCACTGGGGACCCCCTGCCTTGGAATGGGGTCATGGGGACCCTTCTGCCTTGTAATGGGGTCACTGGGGACCCCCTGCCTCGGAATGGGATTGTGGGGACCCTCCTGCCTCGGCCTGGGGTCAACAGGACCCCCCTCCACTTTGCCCCAAAGGGTAGCAGCCCCCCCCCCCCCCGCCTTGTCCCAAAGGATGGCCGGATCCTCCTCTTTTCCCAGTGGGAGCAGCAGCACCCCCTTGTTTTTCAGGCGGGGGCGGGTGTCAGGGACCACCCTCCCAATTGTGTCATCCCTCACCCCATATTCCCCCGCCCCCAGGTGCCTGCAGGACAACGACTGGGACTACGGCCGGGCCGGGCAGGTCTTCACCCAGCTCAAGGTGCGGCCGGGACCTGGGAGGGCATCAATGTGGGGGCRTCCCCAGACGCCTGGGCCCCCCTTGGGGTTACCCCGTCAACCTCAACCCCCCCACACCCCCCTGTGTTTTCCAGCTGGAGGGGAAGATCCCGGACGTGGCATTCCTGAAGTGAGCCGAGCCTCTTCCGCCCCTTCCCGGAGTTTTATCCCCTTTTTCGGTCGTTTTGTAAATAAATAAAAACCGTCTCAATGCCTCCGCCTGCAGGCAGCGCGGCGCCTTTAAGGGGGGGAGGTGGGCGGGGCAGGCGGCTTCGCGCCCGGCTCCAAGATGGCGGCGCGGGCGGAAGTGGCTTCAAGAGGGGCGCACGAAGGGAGGAGGAGGAAGTGGAATGCAGCCCTGCCGCGAGGGTCCATGGGATATAGCGGGGCAATGCMGCCCTGCCGCGGCGGGTGATGGGATATAGCGGGGCAATGCAGCCCTGCCGCGAGGGTCCATGGGATATAGCGGGGCAATGCCSCCCTGCCGCGGSGGGTGATGGGATATAGCGGGGCAGCTGGGGTCACCACGGGACACGGGGAGGGGGGAGCGCAGGTCATTGTAGGATACTGGGGGGGGCGCAGGGTCCCCTGYGCCCTAGGGAACCCCTATGGAGCCCGTAGGGACCCTATGGATCCACCCCCAACCCCCTATGGATTCTATAGACACCCCTATAGTCYCTATGGACACTGCCCCAGCCCTTAAGGACCTCATGGATGCTCTATACCCCCTATGGATCCTATAGACCCTCTATGGTCCCTATAGACCTTCCCAAGCCCTTATTGACCCCACAGAGGCCCTTATAGCTTCTATAGACTCCCAATGTCCCCCTCTCTGATTCTATGGACTCCATAGACCCCCCCCCTTCATGGCTCCTATAGACTCCCATTAATCTCTATAGCCCCACCTCAAGACTTTATGGATCTCCCATAGCAGCCCTATAGCTCCTATGACCTCCCCCCTTCCACTATGGGCCCCATAGAACCCTATAGCCTCTATGGGCCCCAGAGACCCCCTAGAGCTCCCGCAA